AAAGTGAATTGGGTCATTTTCCATTCTGCAGCTCAGTATAAAGACCTGATTAGATTAGCTTTGATTAGATTTGCTGTCTGAACGAGGCCTCCTGGAGGGGGGGGGGGTGGTGGTGCGGTGAGGCCTCCTTAGAGAGGAGAGGTGGTGGTGGAGGGGCGGTGGGCTTGTCCTGTTAATAATGTGCTAAATTAACCATCTCCGCTTCTCTCTGCCTGGAGCGACATGTTTTATTCATGTCAATAGACTTAACAGGTGTGACGTGACAGGTGTTGCTGCTGTTTTTTTTTTCTCCCTCTGATCACAACTTGGGAAAAGTTGTTAATTGGGTCTCGGGATTTCTCTTTTTCTTTTTTTAAGAAAAATGCTGCTGTGAATTTTTAATTAAAGGAACATTCCTCTCCATTTTAACTCCATTTTAAGGTGGAAAATTCATATAGCAGAGCACACATTCGTCACATCAGGTCGATCGAGTTGTGTGTTTAACACGGGATCTTCTCAGTGTGGAAGTTCCAGTGTCTACAGGTGATTTTCTTCTTTTGTTGCCAGCTGTCAGCCGCCCAGCTCTTCTTCTGTTAATTATAGACAAACCATACATGTTATATATTGGCACTATCACTGTGTTTTTGTTGTCAACAATTCCGTTTCCCACAACTGAATAATACACAAATAAACATACTGTTGATCTAATCAATAATTATTATATCTCTCTTTATCACCCCCAAATGAAGACTATTTGTAAAATAGGGAATTATGAGCATGCCCTAACTGCTAGGGGATCCTTGTGAGAAAAATGTTAGTAATCTGTCCTCGTCAGTCCTGGCGTTCCTCAAGGATGTGTGTTTGGACATCCAAAATTTAAGACTGCTCTCCTACATGGACCATATGCACCTGCTTCACTTTTGTGAAAATCGATGCTTATGTGTCCAATTGTAGTTCAAACCTAGAGTGAAGACATGCCAACGCCAGGCTGCAACGGACGATTATGTACAATACATATTTTAATACAAGTGTTATCGACTTTTGGTCATTTCTGTCAAGTGACTAAAGAAATAATTGACTATTGACTTTTGTGACTTATATTGTGTTTAATCAATCAGTGCTTCCTGTGCAGTAGTTCTCCAAATCATGAGGAAAATATTAGTTTTCTGCCCAATGTAGCTACAACCAGTTGTACTATCAAAACAAACACTGCACGTTTTCAGAGACACTTCACCAAAGCCGAAAAGAGTTTTTCGGAGTAAGGAAGTAAAATGACTGTGTGTGATAGCAGTACTGAAGATTAAATCTAATTAGTGTGTATAGAAATCATAAATTCACAGAGCCGCTCCAGACTGTGCGCTGTATTCTCAGTAGGGTGGTGTGCTGCTGGCGGCTGTTCCTGCCGCGGTGGAGCTGTAATTTATTCATTGAACAGGTGAAGGCGGCGAGGAGTGGGTCGGTTTCTCCTCGCCTAATGAAAACTCAAATCCCTCTGACTCCTGTAAATTGGTTAGGCGGTGTCAAGTGTCTCCCAACACGTCCCCACCCTCCCAATATCCCCCCTCCCATATCACACACACACACACACACTTAAAGAGCACACACACTACGACTCATGCAGCTCCTGTCCTTCAAGGACACACTCTAGAGCAGTCACACACTCTAAAATACACACACACACACACACACACACACACACACACACACACACACACACACACACACACACACACACACACACACACACACCAGAGTCAGGCTGCTCTGAGGCCGTGGGACAGCCCCATCTGTTTGGGAGCCAGCGGCGGTGACATTTAAAATTGATTACAAAGGGAAAGATTGATTATGATAATGTTCACTTATATTCACTCATTACGGAGTTATGGCTGCTCATAAATCACTGCTGTGTCATCTGGAGATGATGAAGAGGAGGGTGGTATTAACAGCATGATCCTCTGCAGACTGAGGGTCATCGTTTTTAGATTTGTACTGATTTGATCTAATCTGAGTGTAGTTTAAACATTCAGTTCCACACCTGAACCAGACGTTGAGCGGTCTGTTAGAAAGGACTGATACTTAACATTGCCCTTAACCTCCCCAATTGATATGACCTTATGTCATGCTGTGCCCTGATCATGTGAGCGGAAACAGAGAACCTGCTTACACCCTGTTTGAGAGCCATTTGATAAGATTTATTCGATAATTGTATTGATGTAACTGCCCAGCTGTGTGTCTCTCACTGAGGGAAAGAATGGTACATTTGGCTTTCAATCGTCTGCCTCATAGTCAGAGGTCATCATTTGCTTCAAGTCTCTATTATAATACTGAACACTTTGATTAGTTTCTGTTAAGTCATACAGGGAAAGGGAGACATCAGTCTAGTTGCAACTCTGCACTCTAATTTAGCTGCACATACAGCAGAACTGTCATCAGATCAGTTTACTTTCATATGAGATCTTATATCATGTTTTAGGGCTGCTTACGTGAAATGTAGTGCCAGCAAACAACAGTAAAATGCAATCATTGAAATTATGAATGGCACCACCAGTGACAATTTTTGCACATTTCTGTCTACTATGAAAATAGCATTTAACAAAACAATCTTAACTCAAGACCCCTCACTAACTTGGTGGGCTTCTTTTATTTATTTTTTACGTCTGACATTTTAAAGACTCAACAATTTGTCAAAAAGAAAATGTATTAAATGAGTTGCCGCTGCAATGAGCATAACACTTTCTATTGTGAGGTAGTCTCTTGTAGATGATAGACACATTTTACATTTTATGTATGCACCATGACATCAAGTCAAATTCCTCGTATGTGTGAACCTACCTGGCAATAAACCCGTTTCTGATTCTGATTCTGATCTCCTGCCCTATGTAGGAGATTCCATGTGGTTATCCTCTTTTAATGCAAGCCAAGTAAATTACTGTATGTCTAATTTGAATTGCAGCTCTGAACTTGCTTGTTGTGAATACAGCCTAAAGCAACTACCAAATACTTGTAACAACACGGTGTCACATCTGAGTCAAGATTTTTCCTCCCTTGCGTCTTTTCTGTCCCTCTGTGAACTAAATGTAAGCACCGTAAAATCACTTTTAAAGCGCTGTAAAGCACTTTACCCCTCTACCTTCTTGTTTCATGTCTCTGTCGTCCCTCTGTCTCTAATCTCCCCCAGCACCACTTTGTTGCCTCCCCTGTAATCTTCCCTGCAGCCTCAGTCGCTGCGAGTCACACTTGGGTCATGGGAACTCACAGCTGCTCGTCCGGCCTCATGCAGTTGACGGACAGCGAGCTCCATTTTGGTTTGTTTGCTGATGCCCGTGAAAAAAAAGGAAAAAAATAGCCCTGCACCTGAAACAATCCAGAGTGTGCGTTTGTTGCTGTGGGATGGCGGAGCGCGTCTCCTCTGGGAAGTAGGCCATAGTGTGCAAGCATAGTGTGCAGGCATAGTGTGCAGGCATGCTGCGCTTTCTCTCAGAATATCCATAGAAAACTGTATCGCAGCACTAAATGGTCTAATCTAATATTGATATGAACGATACACAACACCAGTGATGGAATGTTACTAAGTACATTTGCACTTAAGTACTATTTTGACATCCATGTACTTTAATAATATTAATGATAAAGCTTTATTTGTAAAGCACTTTTCATTCAGGTCAAAATCGAGAGAATAAAAATTATAAATAAATATAATCAAAAAGTTTACAACAGATTATCCACTTAGTAAAAGTTGTATAGAAATAAGGAAAAGGGAATTCATACAAAACAATTATAAAAAATTATAATTAAATTGAACAATATGAAAAATATTTTCGGCGACTTGAGGAATATTTAAAAAGCCTGCTGCTCAGTTTTTATTTGAGTATTTGATGCTACTTTATACTTCTACTTCACTACATGTCTCACTACTATAATGAATTTAAACTTACAGTTAGAACATGCGGTGAATATATCCAAACATTGCGACAATTGATCGCATTTTAAATGATTTCAAAACGTTGTGTTGTCACTTGCTGCCTTTCTCCTCATTCTGACTCACACTCAAGTGTTACTCTCTGAGGAAGCGTACAAGAAATGCCAAGAAATGATGCACGGCAGTAAGAATGCTCAGGCAAACTCTACGTAAAAGCTGTGTATTGTATTTACATTGTATATGTTATATCTATACATCGCACTGCACTTCTTGTTATTGGTATTCTGTGCAATGACGATAAAGCTAAATCCAATATAATCTAGAAAAAATGTCATCATGAAATCATTATAATTCCTTCTAGCATTTGCTTTTAATTTAGTCTACAATGTGTTATAAGAAACCCTGAATGGTATCGATCCCATCACCCAAAGTGTCTCCCCTGACACCTGAATTAAAAGACACACCAAGCCCTTACCAGATCCATGTGGACGAAGGCAAGGAAAAATGAATTTCCCTCTTTGGAAATCAATACATTACCACTCAAAATGCCCTTGAGCAAGTCATCAAATCCCTACCACTTCCCGGGGCGCTGACCTCCCGGTGGATCGAGGAGAAGACGAACGTACGCCCTCTGATATCGATACGGTGTCATGGAAAAAGATCATCGAGATCCAGAAGTGACAAAGGAAAACTGGATTTAATATTTGGCTCTAAAACAAAATCGTTTTAATAAATAAGACCTGTCAGGTGAAATATGGAAAAGACAGTTTATTCTCGGGTGAATGTTTTGTCTTTCATCATAACAGTGGCTGCACTCTTTAACTAGCCTCGGGTTGATGGAGGCTAATCAGTTACAGCAGTGTGGGAACAAGAATTATTTTCCCACCGTTATTCACCTTAATGCAACGTGTGTGTGTGTGTGTGAGGCTGAAGACTCATGTGTTTCTGTTTATGAGTTACGGCATCTCGTATCTAGGTTTCTGTGTAAACTCCACATCATGTGCATGTCTTGAAGTGGGCATATCTGAGTTTCTGTGTGTGTGTGTGTGTTTCTGTATTAGCGTGCACTGTGATAACCTCTGCCCCCCCTTCTGTGTTTCAGCGAGCGTACACTGTGATATTGGAGGCGTGGGACAGGGACAATGGCACACACATCAACGGTAAGCATCATTTTACCAATTTAAACATTTTTCTGATGTCCGTCCTTTAATTTTGTCTTTGTATATCATAGCTCTAGTTAATGTGATTATACTTAGGTCATGGTGTTTGTGTCATATTCTGGCTCAACTCATCCGTTTCTTTAGCTTTGATTTCTTGCTAGTAATCTACAGTTTTATTCCCATCTAATGGTTCACAGTGAAAGTGATGAGCATTCACAAAAACTAGCAAAAATGGGCCATTATGTCATGCTTACTGACACCTGTACGCCCGAGGTCTATTTGGTAAGCAGCATGGAAAGAAAGCCAACTCACCCACTCATATGAAACACCTGCAATCTGTTGACTAGCATGAAAGGAATGGGAGACGTGTGCCACGTTGTGAGATTTGTGAATCTGTGCGGGCATGTCAAGTTTACCCATACCTTCAAAGTGAGGCATTGACTTCCTCATGCAGTGCACAGATCTGATTTGTCATTGAGTTTTCCTAACGCTCCTCCACCACCGTTTCCCATTTCTCGCCCTCTTCACGGTCACTCTGACTGTTTTTGGCCATCTCTATATAAAGCCTGTGAGAGCATTGCATCGTTAAGCCATTAATTACGGACCGCAGCAGCTTTTCTTTGCCCCCCTGCCCCTCTTTCCTATGATGTCTGTCTCCTAATTAGCATCCCGACAGCTGTCCGGCTACTGCACGCACTTCATTATCCTGAAGCGCTGTGACACGCTGGCATCTAGGCTGCCATGCCCCGGCCTGGACAGCAGCTCTCGTGGAGCGACACTTTGGTTTCTGATCACTCCACCACCTGTCGATGGTGCAGTGTCATGGGTGGAGGGATGCTTTAAAGGGGCCTTATTAGGCTTTTGGGTTTTTTTTACGTTTACGGAACATAGTGACACTAGCGCTCTATTGGCTAGCGCTCCAACACATTGTACGTGATAGGCTAAGGGGCGGGACATCTCTAAGCAGTTGACCAATCACAACAGAGCCGTCCAGCTAACCAATCAGACCAGACTGGTTTCAGACAGAGGGTGAAAAGAGGTGCTGCAGCACAGACAGTATGAGAAAAATAAAGAGCTTTTTGAACATTAAAGCATGGAAACATGTCGCAGTAGAGGAACGAAATACAATATGAACCTGAACATGAGAAGAATATGTCCTCTTTAATAATCCTCATCGTGGTGAGGCAGGCTGGGGGCGCCGTCCCCTATCTTGAATACTTTGGAGATTTTTCTCATTGCGCGATCAAGTTTGATTCTTAAATCTGTCAGTGAGTCTGTCAGCAGCCAAGTGTCAAATTCAAACAAAACAATTTCTTTGTATCAAATACTACATAAGTTAGGAATATAAATGTAATAATAAGAAACATTCCTCCATGGATGTGATGCTCAGATTTATTTTAGCAGGTATTTGGGCTTAAATTGTTATTATTTACTTCTCTGCGTAATGTGCGTATCTACTTTCACTCGAATGTTCCTACTTCACTTTGGGAATTCCTACATTGTTGGGAGTTGCTTTCGACAAACGTCAGAGAGCAAGGATAAACATGTTGCATCTAGCATTACTGAAACGGTTGCATAATTAAAGAGAGTGCTAGAGAATCGTCATGTATAGCAGGCCAGGTGTGAACAGGAATAAGAATGGAAGGATGTCACGATCAAGATTTTTTGGCCCAAGAGCCCATTCCTCAACACTGTGTTATATGTCTGTACGTAATCCAGGTTTAATCTAAAGTGGACCCACAGTAAAGTAAAATAGAAAACTAAGTGTGACATCGTGTGAGCTTTCTGAAAACACCAAGTAGCCCAGTTTTTTTTCAAAAGTATTTTGATTATTATTGATGGGGGAGGATTGTCAGTTGGACAACAGTATTTACAAAAGTTTAATTCATTTATTAAGAAAAAGGCCTACAGTAAGCCTCCAATGGTCTTATCTTCTGAAGTTTCAGAATTTGCTGCTTTTCTCAGTTCTGTTTTTCACCATTGATTCTCTCAGTTCATCCAAATTTCCTAGAGCCGATATTGACATACGATTTTTTTTCTGACGATTGGTCGAAATCCTAGGTATTGCATTCACTGTCAAAGAAGACGTACAATGTTAACATTTGAGACGCTAGATTCAAAATGTTTTCATTGATGAACTCTGTGAGAGGTTATGATGGCAATTATAAAAGAAGCGAGGTTACTCCAGTGAGCGTTGTGTGAACAGGTCTGGGCAGCAGGTTGGAGAGTTCTCAGAAAATGAAGTCTGTGTGGAAGCTGTTCGGGCTTCAGGAAGGATGATGATGATGTTGACTCTGTGTCGGTGGATTGTTGGCTAGTGTGGAGGGTACACTTTTTTTTTTATTACACTGGGTAAGGATGGGTAATCCCCTCCATCATAAACCAGGGGAGAATTCAGTTGAGATAGCTTCGTTCTGTTAATCTTCTTCCTCTTTTCCATAAAGATCTATTGTTATCCATCAACTGTTAAATACAGTTCATTGATTCACACACCATGAACACACACACACACACACACACACACACACACACACACACACCACACACACACACACACACACACACACACACACCACACACACACACACACACACACACACACACACACACTGTAGTTTATTGTGTGGATTATTCTGCTGCTGAAAATAGTCACCAACACATTTACTTTTTCCTCCTTGTTGAGTAAAGTTTGCTTAAAACAAAATAATATATTTGGTAGATTTAAAAGATTAACGTCTTTATCATAAACCAGTGGGAATGAGAGCTACATACAGGAAGTCATCACATATTTGGAAAGCCTTGAACTGATATTTTAATGGGATTTGTTGACAATAAAAACAATTTATATGATAAAAGTATTGCTAATCTTAACACTGACGCACTGATGGTTTTGTACGTTATATTCAGATAAATGAAAACAACTAAGGTGATAGATGAGGTATTTGTAACGAAACTGTACTAATTCATGTCACATTACCACAAACTAACAATTTAAATATCTTTGGTATCAATAAGTGGTATCCTACTCATATAATGATCAAGCATAATGTGAGCAATGAACTTAAGGTCATTTTCATATTTTCTGACGTTGGAGTGTGCCGCAAGCTGTATGCTGCAATGATAAGATGCATTATAATGTTTTTGCAATCACACAAAACCATTTCAAGGTTGATTTAAGTGCAATTTCTGTACCTTATAATTTGAACTCCACCCAGCTGAAGCAACAAGCAGGTTAAAACAAATCAGCAAAGAGAGAGAAGAGAGGTATATCCACCTCTTTTACTGATCACAAATGTATGTAACAGTTTGTTTGTGCCACACTGAACCGCCTGCAGGAAGATGCTTTCCAAAACAAAATAACTGCTTGACAACCGGGTTATCATCGCTGAATCACTTTCAGAGTGAGAGGGTTGTTCGGGCACGGCTTCTCATTCCTGTTGTGCTTTCATATGCAGCCATTATCTACAACCAACATAAGACTAAGGGCTCACGAAATGATTGCAATGGTGAGAATTGAATAAAAGTTAAATATTTTTTAAACTTTGCATTCATCTAAAACGAGCGCCTTTCAGGTTTTTTTTTATAGTTTCTAGTTGTAGGAGATTTTTGTTCTCTTGGCATATGTGATGGAAATTCAACATTTACATTTTTCTTTTAAATCCAATGATAATGGTTTTCACTGAAAAATAAATACTGGAAGACAATTTAATTTAAAGGGGCTCTATTCTGCTAATTTTCAGGTTCATATTTGTGAATATGTGAACCTGAAACGATGTGATTGGTTAGCTGACCGGCTCTGTTGTGGTTAGTCAACCGCCTATATATTTCCCGACCCTTAACCTATCACGTACAATTTAGGGGTGTAACGGTATCCGTATTCGTCCCGTACCGTCATGGTTCGGACGTCACGGTTCGGACGTCACGGTTCGGACGTCACGGTTCGGACGTCACGGTTCGGTGCATGCAGTCACACGACGAATACGCCTTTTTTTTTTTACGAGTGGGAAAAAAATCTGTCATTCGGGGCAGACTACACTATATATAATCCAGGGGGCGGTATTGCGCCTAAAAGCTGTTTGCCAGCCGCTCTTAAACAACAAATGAAGAAGAAGAAGAAAACACAACAAGTATTGCGAGTTCAGATTACTGATGGGAATTATGGCTCTTTGAAGGGAGCCGGATCTTATGGCTCCGTTACTTTGCGAGAGCCGTTCAAAAGAGCCGTTCAAAAGAGCCATTCAAAAGAGCCATTCAAAAGAGACGTTTTTTTTTAAAGGGGGCGGGGTTAATAGGTTTATCTGCGAAATATACCTTTTATAATTCAATCAAATGTAGCCCTGTTTTGACTAATGATTTATATGTGTACACATATAACACTTACATTATTCAATACATCATTTGTACTGAAGTATTCAAAAGTAAAAATTACATTTTTAATATAAATGATTTGCTGTGGCCAATTATTTTCATTGCATTTACAGACCCTTGTAACTCTCTGACTCTGATTGTAGAACCACGCAAAAAAAAAGAAGCAGATAGCAACACCTATACAAATAGACAACAAATCTTTGCTGAGCCTAAAAATAATCATAAATAAATAACATAATGAAAATAAATATATTGCAATGCTCAAAACAGCAGCATCCAACAGTCTCTAATCCTTGGATATTACATGTCACTGCATCAGCCATTATAGATAATATGGCCATCTGAGTGTGTGTGGTACTGTTTGTGGTTTGTTTTTAACTGTGTAATACAGTTAATTATTCAAAATGTTAGAGTTCCTTATTTTTATACTGAAACTTGCACTACTGTTCAAAATAAATAACAACAAACCTGGAATTATGCATTTGGGACTTTTTTTTGCTTTTTCTTGTTGTACCGAACCCGTACCTAACCGTGACCCCCAAACCGAGGTACATACCGAACCGTGAATTCTGTGAACCGTTACACCCCTAGTACAATGTGTACAATGTTCATTTTATTTTGCAAAACACTAACAACGGCATGTGTTTAGCCAACATTTTACGACGTTGGTTTCTTTTGTAAAATGAAATAGAAAGGGGGCTTTGTATATGAGTGCGTGTATTCCTCAAATTAAGCCACTAATAATCAACTGCTGGGGTTTTATTTTTGAGCATTTAAGACACACTCATGTGGGCCAGATGGGGACAATGTGACTGTACTTCTTTCTGAAAACCATCAGATGTCCGGTGAAGGAAAACAAAATAAACTTATTTTAACTAGCATCATAAACACAGCCCTGTCTTCAGTTCAAAGATCACCACTGTTACAAGTGACAAGCTGTCAAGAGGTCAAAGGTCAAAGTAAAAGTGTCACAGCCCCATAACAAAACGGTCCAGTTACAGGCAGCTTGTTGCATTCAAGTTAAAATCTAAGTAGAAAAAAGTCATGCTTTGTCTCTGAAATGAATCTTCTCCTCAGTTTTCTCTGGACACGATCAGCTGCTCGGATCTGAAGCCCCCTGTTGTTTATGTAATGTGTTTTTTTTAATGGCCCACTCTCTCCTGCTCTCCCTAGTAACAACGGCCTCTCTAGTGTGTCTCCTCACTACAGAGGGAGCTCATTGGTCTATATTTTTATATCTAATTGCTGGAGATGAGCAGCAGCGAGTGTTTCAGGTGGTGGGTGTGGGACTGGAAACTGTGGCCGTGTGTTAGCTCGCACAGAGACTCAGTAAATCAGGACAGCCTGGAAATGGATCCTTTCTCTATACAGTGTCAAACTTCAGCAGCTATGGAGATGATATTAGAAAAGCAAAGGGATATGTCTCAAGTTTTACACAGTTTATGCGATGAAAACATAACATTTTATACCAGGTACATTTCAGAAGTTATCCCTAATAAATATGGCTAAATTAAAATTAAAATGCAGCAAGTCTAATCCAGCGGATAAGGTATAAAAGATTAAACTTACTTTTTTAATGGTAAACTATTATTTCAGAATTAATTGTTAGAGTTCAGGTAAAACGATACATCTTTATGTTAATCTTAAGTGACAAAAGTTTAATTAATTTACTTTAAATTGATTTATTGTATTTACCTTATTGATCCCATATTCAGAATTTGCATACATTTCCCAATTTAGGATCAATAAAGTCAAACTAATCTAATTTAATCCCCATTTCCTATTTGTTTATGAGTCAACAACATTCTCCTTCTCCTTCTTCAACCACTAAGAGATGTCCCGCCCCTGAGCCTATTACGTACAATGTGTTGGAGCGCTAGCCAATAGACGCGCGAGTGTTAACATAGTGATATCATTATGTTCCAAAAGTAAAGCAAGTAGTGCAATAGAGGGATTACATGCAGACAATTTACATGCAAAAAAACCTATATAACAAAAAGCATAATAGGGCCCCTTTAAGACATTTTCTAGCAGTTTTCCACTTAGCTCCTCCCACTGAAGACAGAGCTGAGTTGGTACGATGAGCTCTTCCTTCCCGCTCTGTCTCTTCCAGGTCATACTCCACTCTGTTAGCGACAGCAGCAAAGCATGCTGGGTCACACTTCTCCTGTTCCTTGAGAACAAGCTAAAGGGCCTTTCCTATGTCGCCCCTCCTCGTCTGCTCCACTTCTCTTATTATTTCCGGCCTGGCTCCAATGGAGTCGGGGGTGGATATCCTGAGAGTGGGGGTGGGCAGAAAAGCATTTTGGGTTATCAAGTTCTTGCAGACCTCGCTACACCCTCGGTTTGAGCTCGCTTTATTCTCCTATTTTCTCCTCCTTCTTTCTTTTGCAACATATTTGGTGCAACAGAGTGATGTTTGACTGATGTCAGTCCTTCCTTCTGATCTGTGCTCACAACAGCCATTATTCTTGGATCGTCTTATATCACTAAACACCGGGTTGTTGGGTCAAATCCCATTACCGGAATCAGCGCTGCTTCTTGGAATGTCATTCAGAATTTGTGTTGTTTAGACCATGCTATCAAACCGACACAAATACTTGACCTGTTGAGTGTTTTTAATTTATTCAGTGCTTATATGCATCAAGTCAACCATGATTTATAGAGCAGCTTTCGAGCAAATCAAATACACTTCAGAGTGCTTTACAAGCAACTGACAAAAAATAGGACAATACAAGTGGTCAAATGTTAAAAATAACAAGTCATAATGCTCAAAAGTTTAAAAAAATTACATTGAGATAAATGGTAAAGATGATAACGAAAATAAGTACTATTGTAGAGACCTAATACTACAAAAATAGTTGATTATTCAATTTCAAGCAAAACTTTATTTATACAAAACATTCTAGCAAATCAAATGCACTTCAAAAATGCTTTTGACAAAACTACCATGCTAACAAGTTGTAAAATGTTAAAAATAAAATAAATGTAACAATTTATATTGTTCAACTGTATAGTGTCTATACATTACAGTGACATAAATAATAAAACCATATAATTATAAAACACTACATCAAAGCCAGACTAATACTAAGCCCCTTTTAGTAAAACAACTCTTTTCTGCTCTAACACTGATTTATTTGTCTTGTTTCCAGATGATGAGCTTCTGATTGAGCGCAGCATCCACAAAGGGATGATAAACCCCGGCGAAGAGAAGCAGACGGTAGAGTATAAGAGCTCCGTCACCAGCCTCGTGTACACCATCCGGGTCCGCTGCGATGAAAACTACTACGGCAGCAAGTGCAACAAAGTCTGCCGTCCCCGTGACGACTACTTCGGGCATTACGTGTGCGACCAGCTGGGGAACAGAGGCTGCATGGAGGGCTGGACAGGGCCTGACTGCAAGACAGGTACAAGGAGGGTCTGCAGCAGAACACAGGATACAGGGGGATGGGGTTTAATTAGAACTGATTTATAGTGAATTATAAGAGATTTGTTACTATTTAGTAGAGCTGTAACCAATTATCAAAGCCTTAGCTTATTAAATCAAGAGTATGAAAGTATACATAATAGCCCAACCTCTAGTAAGTTGGTGAACGTTTTAATTTCCTGCCAGAAATCAGATTAAATACATAAAAAAATGTATTTGTTCATTTATTATTATTTATATTATTTATTATTTTTTTATATATATCTTTTGCAAATCTTTTCAATTTCTTTCAAACCAACATTATTAATGGGAATCACAATTTTGGACATTGACATTGATTTAATTTTTTACATTTAATAACAGATTTTATCAAATGAAGAAGGAAAACAATAAATGATAAAACGTTATTGTGCTTGTACTCCTATAACATTTTAAATCTGATCAGATATGTGCATTCCTTAAGTACCTGGTCTTATTTTTCCTGTACGTTAAAAGGGAAGTTTGTGATCACATGGACGAAGCTTTCTTAGTCTCTACCTCCTCACTGCCCTTTTTCGTAAAAACACTTGGAAGTCCACTGATGTTCATGTCAAGTGTCACTTTGTAAGAATTCAAAGAATGTTAGGAAACTCTCGTCAGCGCTGTAGACACCTTCAATTTTCCAACATTGACTCGGCCATCCATTGTTAACGCTGCAGAGATTCTCTGGCATTTCACAAACAAGACAAAACACAGGAAATTAGCTTTTAATGATTTGACCACCTGCAAAACAAAGTGCCAGCCATGCAAAGACTTCAATTGAAATCATTTGAAGTGATGGTGTAAAGAATGCTGATGGAACTTGTCACTTTCTGTTTCCTTTTCCAAAAGCCATCTGCAAACTGGGATGCAGCCTCGAACACGGGACATGCAGCGTGCCGGGGGAATGCAAGTGAGTCACCCCCCCCCCCCCCCCCATTTGTAATTTTTTATTTATTTGTTTGTTTATTCCACTTAGTTCACCTCACAGTTCGTTGTTAAATGATGTCGAACATGCTTTTGTTTGGATGGGAAGAGTTTAATGAGGATAACAGTGGTGATGATGAGGAACAGGGGTGGGGGGTGGGGGGGGGGGGGGGGGGGGGGAGGGTCTGTTGTTGATAACATAGCAAGCAGCCTCACCCCCTACCTCCCCCATCCAAGTTGTATGAAGTGCCCCCCCCCACCCCGTCCCTCTATCCCTCAGCTGCACTCTGATTCAGAAGCCATTGTTCTGCTTCCTGTTTTAAAGCTGTCACACACACACACACACACACACAAAAGCTCTGTTTTTTTTGTTATACACTTCCTCCCTCGTCCTCCTCCAGCATTAGAGAGGCAAGGTGCCCCCCACCCCCCCCCCCCCCCTGTAATGTCTGCAGCCCGCATCACCTCTTCCTATCCCGGGTCTTGTTATGGCTGGCACTCGATGCATACCACCCAATAGGCTGCAGACAACAGGCAGGGATGCAGAGAGGATGGAGGGATATATCAGCTAAAGGGACTACTTTCATAGTCAAGAACAGAAAAAACAGAAAAAAGGAAGTAGTCATCACAATAACCAAAAGTTAGTCTGGTGACTGATAGCCGGATAATGGCCACTCATGTGTTTGTATTATCTTCTCTAGTGTCAAAAATAGCTCATGAAGAAATAACTGGTTTTGAGAATTATAAGTCGAGATTGAAACTGACAAACAATGACAAATAGGTGGAAACTGAATGAAAAACAGGCCATTTATATCGTAGATGGAGTGAAGTTAGATACAGTATTATGACATTTAAAAAAAGGCTGACCAGGCGCTTGTTGTGCAGTTATGTAAAGAGGAAAGGCAGCAGAGGGACATTTAGATTTGATTACATGAGAAACTGAGCTGTACATTTAGACACAGCGGAGCATGAGAGCTTTAAAAAGCCCAACTGCTCACACACACTCACACACACAGTAGCAAGTATTTGGGAAGAGGCGAGATGGCAGAGGGGAGGGGGTGGAGGACATTTATATCGAGGCAGGTTTCATTTAGTTAAGATCTCGACTCGTAAAGAAAAAGAAAAAGTGACACTGACATTTTGTCATCGGAAATGCCCTTGAGGATTTGAAGAGAGGAACACGTGTCTCAACATGTGATTTTAGAGCTTTATCACAATCGGTAACACGCACATGCACACACACGCACACGCACACACACACACACACACACACACGCACGTATACACATAGCTGAGAAAAGAGAGAAGTGAACATCCATCCAAAATAAGGATACAAAAGTTGTTTGTTAGTTATGAGAGTCCATGTTAATCACGACGTGACATCATCAGTGTAGGAGAACAGTTGTAAGCGCAAAAGCTAGTTAGCATACATGTATATCAAAAACATTTCACTCAACAAGGATGATGCTGAAACTATTATACATTTCTAATGTAACTTCTAACCTGAAGTACCCTAAATATTGACAAATAATTTATAGTGTACTTACTGCGTCGTTATTTAGCTTTCAACTACATTTCAGAGTCATCACTAGAATAACATTTTGAAACAAATGCGTTTCTGACGTGAATTTTTGTGGCAAGCTCCAGAAAAAGATTCCCACAACTTGGCTTGTTTCTAACTCAATATAAAAGTATATAAGACTGATATCACACTTAAATTATGAGCAAAACTCAAAAAACCCTTACAGTAGGTAAACAAAACAATCATCCTTTTGTCACATTTTCCAAACAAATTATGTGAAAGTTAATATGAAAATGAAATGAAAAAGTGAAAGAGAGAAAAATAAAGCGACAGAAGGGCTAAAGAAAGAGAAAGCAGTGAGAAACAGAAAGGCAGAGCAGCAGCCTGGCAGAGGAAAACTAAAAGTGTGTGTTTGGTATCTTGTTTCTTACACACAGCGCATTCACAACCTACGCTCCCTCATGTGACACTACTAAACATGTAGCTAGGCAACAGCGGGCTAAGTCCGTCCGCTGGATTTGGGCGCGAGGCTTTCCTGTAAATTATTCAGCACACAAACACACACACACACACACACACACACACACACACAGGCCCCTCTACCCCTGCCCACCGTCCCGTCCTCTGGGTGTGGTTTGTCTGAGGGGCAGCAGCGGAGCAGGGGTTTGTGGGCAGGCGGGATATTTTGGGCTCCTGCTGGCCCCTTGAGGCCCCTCTCATTGATGGGACGGCAGCAGCCCAGCGACGGGGCTTGGGGTAATGCCACCCTTCGCTCCAAACCATTTCCCTGCTCTCCCACACTGCAGCCAGACAGACTGTCCACGCTGCTGCACCCTGACAGTGTGCAGGGCACCACCGCTGACCACAGTGCCGGACAGCCGCACACATAAACAATGTACGGCTCTGTCACACACACACACACACACACACACACACACACACACACACACACACACACACACACACACACACACACACACACACACACACACACACACACACACACACACACACACACACATAACTGGGCTTTTACTCACGCTGCGGTCAAACTGCAGTTAAGAGAGTTTCAGCTTACAAATTGTGCATGCAGCTAAACTGGTCGTGCATGCTTTGACATAAACAGATCTTTGTCATGGTTGCATTTTTATTATGTGATTTATTGATAATGAGTTCTTTATAAAGGAACTCCACCTACATACAAATGCCCAGCTATTGACAGGGTAATATTAGGTTCCCAGTTATAGAAGAAGATATATTTTAAAACCTGGATTAATAAACTAGGCAAGACAAGGCAAGTTTATGTTCATGACACATTTCAACAAAAGGCAATTTAAAAAGCTTCTATATAAGATAGAATAATACAGGTATACAATGCAAGAATAAAAGTGACAGTGCAGTGTAAGATATGAGTGGTTATTTGATTTATTGAAGGCAGCTGCAAACATAAAAGTCTTCAGCCTGGATTTAAAGTAGAATAGACTTCCTTTATTGTCATTGCACCAGGTAAAACCAAATAAAAATAACAACAATCCTGATAGAAGTAGTGAGAGTTGCACCTATATATGGAGCATAAAGAAAGGGACTGATACCGGGCAATACCCAGCATCCTGCAATACATTACAGCTCACTACAGAGCAGGACCCCAATGTTGTTTGGAGAAGTGTTTGGTCGGCATCCATTTTGAAGTGTTTGTGGATGGACATTGGTAGTGGAGGTGGGGGGGGGGGGGGGGCGTTTGCTCCCTAAATAGCTCCCCGACGGAGAAATGACAGGACAGGTGGGGCAAGGTTACCACTGGCCTTGGAATAACAGAGTGCTGCCATAAACCAACAGATTAGCTAACCCTGCGCTGGCCTCCCCTTCGAGACGTCAAACCCTCGTTCCACAAACCCCACACTCATTCCAAGTGTGACCCCCCCCCCCCCCCCCACACAGATACACTCAGGAAGAGGGCTGAGAGAAGATATGCAACACATGACACAAAAAACAGCATCTTAGCAAGTCATTTTTGTCCATAATTGAATGCTTAACATATTTTCTGAACATTGCTGAAACAACCAATATACCAATATAAGTGTATTGATAATCAATTAAATGAATGAAAAACAACAAAATACAGTTTTTACAATTTAAAGATGGACTTGTGAGGGAAATATTTTACATGAATTAAGAGGAATTAAGATAATAGAGAGAATAATCAATAAGTACATTCATCAGCTTCAGCCCTATGTTATATAACTAGTGAATAACTGGCATCTTAGCAACTCACTTGATTCTAGTGCAGGGTCTTATTCTTGGTAGTATGCACTTATTTCTAGAACGTTTTTGAAGAGAGAATTGCTCTTCCTGAGAAAGTTATTAGAGTTCACTTAAGGACATAATGACTTCATCACTATCAGCAAATAAAGTAAAAGATGAACTTGAATGACAGCACTTGATAGCATGTTAGGACACAAACACACGCACACACACGCAAACACACACACACACACACACACACACACACACACACACACACTCAGGAATGTCCCTGGCGCTGTGTGTCCTAAGATTAGGAGCTGCAGCAAACATGTCATTCACCTTGATGAAGACGTTCTGTCCGACAAATCACTGCGGTGACATTTAGCTGCCCTCCTGTTTTATTCTGGACTTTTCTACTAAACATGTTTCCTTCATCTAATCGCCTTCCCCTTTCTACATGACTTGAAAGCATTTCCCTTTTTTCCTGGCATCTCCAGCATTCCTCATGTTTACCAGGGGACGTTAAACTGGCACGCTGCCCGGCACCATGCGCTGCTCACACATTGTAAACGTATTAAATGACTTGTTTGTTATCGCAACGTAACTATCATTGTTTTTCATGAACAACATCCCCTGTGTTATTAAGTGCATATTTGTGCCTGATATCCCCTCAGGCTGGAGCTTTAATAGGAACACACTCTCACTGTGAGGAAAAGTCCTCACAGCCACTGGTGCACCCGCTGAACTCTATCCACTGATTTTACGGCTATCAATGCTGCCACAACATTCAAGTATTTCAGTGACCAAAAAACTGTGGAAGAAATACTTTATTTTTTTTTTGAATGACTGTTTTTAAATGCCTTTGTCTGAATGTCTTTCATTTTTGTAAAGCACCTTGAATTGCCTTGTGTTGAAAGTTGCTATATAAATAAACTTGCCTTGCCTTGCCTTGCCTTGCCTTGCCTTGCCTTGCCTTGCCTTGTTTCAAGGAGAAGAAGAATAAAGTTTCGTTTTTTCCTCGCAGGGAACTTTCCCTAGTTTGTGGTTTCAGATCTCTTCAAGAAAGTGTGAAAGAAATGTATTAAAAAGTGCTAATAGTGGGAAGGAAAAGGAAAGAATGAAAGATAGAAGAAGTACATTAAACTGCAGGGATTCCTCTCAGGTGCACATTATATCTCACTCTATAAAACTAACCCTCCTCCGCGCTGTGTTCAGGTGTAACTACGGCTGGCAGGGTCCGCTGTGTGACGAGTGCCTGCCGTACCCCGGCTGTGTGCACGGGACCTGCAACGAGCCCTGGCAGTGCACCTGCGAGAAGAACTGGGGGGGTCTGCTCTGCGACAAAGGTATTATTCAGCTGCATAATAACTACGTATATCTGTCTTTTGGATAACTATAAGTGCTGAGTCAGAGGCAACTTGCTTTGGATTATCAAGGATGTTTCACTTATGATCTAAAAGGCCTCTTCAGGTCATTTGGATAATTTATGGAGTTCATTATGGTATAAAATTGATTTGGTTTGTAGATTTAAAATACTTTTCTAGTGTTTTATACGCTAACTCTGAATGTTTCATAATTTATATCTTAGGTTTTCCAAAGCATGCTGAAGAAATTTAGATGGTATTAAATTGTTTTTGAACTTTTCAGACGGACATTGGTTTCAATTATTTTCCATTTGCATTGGTTGCATTGATGTAAAACATGTTCAAGATGTTATCCCTAAACAATAACTATAACAAAATTAATGCAGGCTTCATACTCACTGTGATAGATTTCAAAACTCATGCAACTTCCAAGAAGTACATTGAAACACGACAGTATGATTTCCAAACTCATAAACTCAGAGCTATTGTGCAGTATTTTTAATTTCCAGTAAATGGGCTAAACCTGCACAGCGCTGTCTTACGCCACATGCCGTTAGTGGCATGAGGTAACCGTGTGATTGGTCAAGATGCAGAAGTAGAAATTATGTTTTCCTGTAAATATGTTCTTACATTGTGTTCCTTGTAACCCACAATCAGATGTTCTGGAAGAAAAAAAGTGAAGTATAGCCTGAAAGAACAAGTTATTGTGTGTAACTGTTAAAGAGCACAGAGCTGCAGAATGATGACATGTGCAACATTTAAACTATATTTAGATTATGTTTTTTTATACATTTCCTTAGCTGTCAGATATCTCCTGCCCTAATTCTCCCTTTGTCAAGTTGCCTATTATTTGTTACCCGAGTGCTTTACATAGAAAAACACAGGAGGGTAAATTAAGTTTTTCTTTTCATCTAGATCTGAACTACTGTGGGACCAACCGGCCCTGTAAGAACGGAGGGACGTGTATGAACACAGAGCCCGATGAGTATAACTGCGCCTGTCCCGACGGCTACTCTGGCAAAAACTGCGAGATTGGTGAGACTATGAATTAAATTAACCAGCTTCAAAATCCAATTTTTTTTGGCATGTCACGTCCAAGGCAACGTTAGATATATCCAATTGAAGATTTACAAGCATTGCTAATTTGTTCTTAACTTTTCTCTGTAGCGGAGCATGCCTGTGTTTCCAACCCCTGTGCTAACGGAGGGACGTGCCATGAAGTTCCATCAGGCTTTGAGTGTCACTGTCCAGCAGGATGGTCCGGGCCCACCTGTGCTAAAGGTGAGGGGGCAATACAAAAATAAAACCTACAAATAATATGTGGTCTGTTCGGTTGCGCATCTATTTACTTCTCTCCAATCACTGCTTGATCGGGTTTTTGATTCTTAATATTCTTTGTAAAGAGCTTTGTGTTTGGGATTCAACTAAGTCAAAGTATTTAAAATATCAGAGTCTAAGCTACAATTTTGGACATTATTAAGGTGATCAAAATGTATTTCTTTTAATTTGGGGCTTCAATTGATATTAGGGCATGTATAAAGGTATTGACTAACAGCTTTTAAATAAGAAGTTTTTAAGTAAAAAAATATTGGTACATTCTTTTTAAATAATAGGATTTGTATTTTTCCACCAGATTTAAATCCCTGGCAGGGTGTAGGGTAAAGCCTTTATCTTTTAGTGGTTTTATGATGGATTTATAAAGTTAGGAGAGGAACTAAACAGGCTAATTTAGCAGCGACTTGCAGTGTTTCACCATCCCAGTGGTCTGATTTTAAGAACTTCCAAACTATCTGATGAGTATGCAAACATAAATCAATATCACCAGTGGTAGCTGGTGTGTGACATTTATAAACGATAATTGGCTTCAACATGAGTCTGGTTTATGTTTCAGACACAGACGAATGTGCCTCCAGCCCCTGTGCTCAGGGCGGGACCTGCGTGGACATGGAGAACGGCTTCGAATGCCTCTGTCCTCAACAGTGGACGGGCAAGACCTGCCAGATAGGTACGTCTCACTGAGTGGTTAATAAGATTAACCTTTTATATTTTGAGTAACTCGTTAGTGTACATCTGATCATTGCTTAATGTCACAAGGTGTACAGTATTTGAAAATCTGAATCTTGTAACAATTCTATAGGTTAAAATGTTTTATGATCTTAAACATTGTTGCATGTCAGGTGATCATTTGCTGTAATAAAGCCGATGTGTTCAGTGTGTGTTGCACGTAAAACGAATGCCCCATTTGCTTGCAGAGTTACAGCATATCTGGGTGTTTGTTTATGCCACTGTGTCGTTTAACCAGTAGTATTACTGCAGGAGGGCCACTAATTTCAAATGGGAGTGTGTGTTTGTATATATGCACGCCCAATGGACACACTCACTGGGTATCATCTGCAACTCGAGCCAGGTGACTTGAGAAAAGCTAAAAATAACATCCAGCCTGGCAACTGCTAGCCTTGGGACAAAATAAACGCTAGTGGGGGGGGGGGGGGGGTTATATTCGGCTCCAGACTGGGCGTAACGGGGTTGTATCTACGGTGAGGCGACTCCCCGACATAGTGGAGCCCTTACCCCTCTAAACCTCACCCAGGAAACACTTCATAACCTGTAAACACACGCGGGGAGCAACAGAAATGCTTTGGTTTGTGTTACAGATTCTGTAGAGTGCTTCCCCTTTCAGAGAACAGGGTGGTACCTGGGAGCGGGATGAGGAGGAGGGGTAGTGGGAGCAGGCGAGGCTGGGTTTTTGGGAAGGGGTTGGGGTGTTTAGTTTCAGGCCGGCCAACAGGTGCCGCTTACCTCCTGGGAGTAGTATTAATGCACTGAGTCGGTTTATAGTGAGGCGGCAGGGCGGGTGCGGCGATGGCTGCCTCTGAAACTGACCACTTGGAATGCCGCAGGTTGGCCTTCAGGGAATGCTATAGAGAGACATTAACCCCAAAGGAGGGGTGAGGATAGAGCAGTGGGGCGATGGACATGAAACCCAGTGAGACATAGAGTTCACCCTGTAAATGTTCTGGCAATTTTACATGAAAAAGACCTCGGGTAATGTACCTATAAAAGTCATGAAAGAAACCTGAGTTACACCAGACAGGCCACACCACGCACAGGCTCGAATGTGCCTATTAGACACTTGAAATGTTCCAAACTGTAAAAGCTATTGCATAATAATCATTTCTACTGCACAAGAAAATATGTTCTTCTGATGTCAGCAATTTTTTTAATGTAACTTCATTAAAGGTTATTGTTTTCCTCATGAGGAGGAAGAAGAGAAAGCTTTCATTGAGCTGCAAAGAAAGTTATTATACTAATGCATAGTTTCAGTCAAATACCGTAAAGGCATTGCAGCTCTTTCCAAAACAATCATTGAACAGTTCTGGAAAGAAAAACATTATTTTTGAATTACTTCAAGACAGGAGGACATGTGTGAAATTTCTGTAAACCACACCTGTCAAAGTATTATTTTGCATTGTATCGTATGTCGAAAGTCCTAACAATGATTTCAAAAAGTGTGATTCATTCTTGATGAAAAATGAGCAGCAATTTTCCAAGTAGGGTTGAGCAACATTAAAGATTTGGTGTTTGTGAGGGGCGTCAAAAGAAGCTCCCCCTCAAAAAAAAAGCAGTTTGAAGTCAGAGTTCAGAGACCTACCTTCTCCTCCTGTAATTTTAGAGTGTTTTACAACATGGAGCTATGCTTGGTGATGGGGCTTATGAGCACGCTCTCAGCTCTCTGATTCATTCTCTCTGTGTCTCTCGTCTCCATTTTGCAGACGTTAATGAGTGTGCGGGGAAGCCTTGCCACAATGCTTACTCTTGCAAAAACTTGATTGGTGGATATCACTGTACCTGCTTTCCTGGATGGGTTGGCCAGAACTGTGAAATCAGTCAGTATCTATCCAGAAAATTATACGTCTTCAGCCTCTTTCCTCCTACCTGTAGCGCATTAGCAGGAGGCTAGTCTTCTTGGCTGGCTAGCTTCTGTAGCACTAGCTTCTTCTCACTTCTCATTCTCTCTGAAAAACAATCATGTTTCTGGATTTGTTTTGTAGTATATAGTTGTAGTTTTAGAGGCATATCATGTTATACTAGAGAATACAAGCTGAACACTATATATTTAACCAAAATAACTTTCTTATTTAGTTAGCATTGAACATAGATCTACATGTTCCATAATGCATTGACAGAATGCTAATAGCCTTTTGCTAACAATGCTAGCAAAATTATCTAGTCTTAGCCTTTTTTATGCTAATTAGTAAAAAGCTAATTTGGCTCATGTGGACAAAAACAAATGTTTTATTACTTATATGATATATCTATATATATATATATATATATATATAGCTCTTCAACGGCTACCAAAAACATAGCCTAACTCGTAGTTGAATGCTGATCTAGTATGGTAAACAATGGCATTTTGATATAAAGCTTATGGTTAAAACCCACATAATGTATTATTGTTGAACGCTAGCAAAACGTAGCTTTTTCTTGTTAAATTCAAATGTTTAAGTTCTCATCAACCACAGAAACATGTTTTAATGCATCCCCATGGGGAAGTGCTAGTGCATTACAATGGGGTTAGTAAATGAGCTCTATTAATTCTCCTTTCTTTTGCTCTAAGGTGGCTGTTTATACCTGCCACACCCTGGCTTTACTCTTCCAAGCTATAAGACTTAACTGTTTGCTTTTTCCTGATTGATCTTTAAGAAAAAATCTTGAGGGGGTCGTTTTAACTTCTGCAGTGCATGTATGTTCTCGCTGCAACTCTTTACCTGCATCTGATATTTCCTCAGGCATGGATCACCTCACTTTGGTTGTATCTTCCACTACTTCTTCTGTAGCAGCTGCATGTTTCAGCACCTATTGCATGTTCCTCCTTCCATTTGTCCAACTCAAACGTGACGTTTTCTCTGTTTGTTTTCCTCTCAGATGTGAACAGCTGCCATGGTCAGTGTCAGAATGGAGGGGCCTGCAAGGTGAGATTCACAAATGTCAAATGTGGAGTTTTTTATAGCTTTCAAAAACACTGTGGTCTTTGTTGAACTATGCTATACAGCATATAGTTTGTTATGTAACATAACGCAGTAATGGAGTAAGAACAAGATTATAGATTGATCATCAAATAACCTGAACATAGAAGAATATCCTCAAGGGTAAAATGGTTTTGTGCCATATGACTTGCAATGCCTTAAAGGGATTTTCCTTTTTTAATATAGGTTTATAAGATGAGGGAATTGACAAGGTGATTTTAAAGAATTGCAACAACATGTTGATCGATAATCAGTGTTAAAAAAATGCATTAAAATGCCATATTATCACACTGGCATCGTTATGATTGACAAATTGAGTCATTGAGGTGAGTGGGCTTATTTTCAACTCTGTAATGCCATTTGTCAAATTCTAGCAACTGGGCAGAAATGTATTAATTGAATTGTTTTGGCTGTGATAGTTCCCAATATCCCCATATTTCTAAACTGGAAGAATGTTTGTGGATTTACATTTGCTGTTGCTTCAACAAAACAAGAACGTATTTCTTGAATGATATCTAACTTTTGAATCTGTGTACTTTTAATTATCTGCACCTGAGTGACATTTGGCAGCAGTGTTTATTAACTTCTCATGTTATTTTTGTTTTTTAGAAGGTGCCCCGAGGCTACCAGTGTGTTTGCCAGACGGGGTTTGAGGGTCGGCACTGTGAGGTTCAGAGGACCCGCTGTGCCAGCAGTCCCTGTAGGAACAGAGGGCGCTGCCAGGCCCTGATCGACGGCTTCATATGTGAATGCCCGCAGGGCTTCGCTGGTGCAACCTGTGAGGTGAGGACTAAATGCAGCTAGTGAAAAAACTGTTTTGTGCTTACAGCTATTTTTCCCTGTTTGTGACAACACCTCTACCTTCCTGTTTTCCCTCGGTAGGTGCAGAATGACCGCTGCAGCCCGAACCCCTGTCACAATAAGGCTCAGTGCCACAGTCTGGTGGGAGATTTCTACTGCAGCTGCCCCGACGATTACGAGGGCAAAACCTGCTCGGAGCGTAAGGACCACTGCAAGACCAACCGCTGTCAAGGTAATACACCTGGAAAAGCCTTTATCCATCATTTCTAAATATATTTGTGTTAATAAAGCACAAACTATTTGCCCTGCTGATCTTTTATATCACTTATTTCACCCCAAGTGATTGACAGTTGCACAGTTGCTGTGGCAACAAATGACACCCAAAAGCGGGTGTGGCACATCTCGTCCAATGTGTGCGGTCCCCACGGACGCTGCATCAGCCTGCCTGCCGGGAACTTCAGCTGCTCCTGTGAGCCGGGCTTCACGGGCACCTACTGCCATGAGAGTGAGTCATTAATAGCTACACAGACACACCACACACACACTATATTTATCATCAGTTTCCATCACAGGGCACCACATGATTATTACGGTATATCCTACTCCGGTTTCAGTAATTATAACTCTTAGTTTACTTTATACAGATAAACAATAAACACAAAGCAAATCAAAAGGAAAACATATGCAGGAAAAGGCTGGAAAATAATTTTGCATCTGATTCCATTGCAGTTTTCGGTTGGTACCATTACATAATGCTTTTGTATGTTTGTGATACTGTACACAACAAACTCATCTATTTTCTCTTATTCTCAAAAAAGCTGTTAGTAGTGGGTGTTATTTTATTTATATATATTTGAGACATATGCTGAGTCTTATTTATCATTTGAACAAAATAACAGTTTTTCAGACAGCATGATTAAAAACTGAGCGCACGGCAACCTTAAATGACAGAAAATGCAGGACAAAACCCAAGAAAATGCAAAAATTCGATTGATGCTTTTCAAAAATACAAAAACTTAGCCAAATAATTGTTTTCATAATTTCACATGTGTAAATATCTGTCCTTTCTCTGCTTGCAGACATTAACGACTGTGCGTCCTCCCCCTGTAAGAACAGAGGCACTTGCATCGATGGGATCAACTCCTTCCAGTGTGTTTGCCCAAACGGCTGGGAGGGTAATCTATGTGATGTTGGTAAGTGTGTGTATGAGTGTGTGTCTGTTAGTGTGAGAACTGGGTTTGTTGGGGTTAGCAACAGTACAGGCATGTGAACGTTGGAAAATAGCCTTGTTAAGTCATGCTGCCTGTGAGTCAAATACTCTGGGAAAAATTCCTCACTAGCCTCTAGCAGCAGAGGAACAATCAGCAGTCTGGGAAAAATATGGATGACGATTCAACCTAGTGTTTTTTGGCATGAAAGGCATCAGAAAAGTGTGGTAACTAACCCAGCTGAATGATTCTAAATACAGTGGAAATGGAGTTGGAAAGTGTGCCAGTTTGCAGATGACACCATCACGTACATTCATGTTTAGAGATGGTCTATATGAGACCTATAAACAAATAGGTCTCATATAGACCATCTCTAAACATGAATGTACGTGATGGTGTCACCTGCAAACTGGCACACTAAAACTAGTTAAAACTAGCCAAACTAATATAACTCTGTCAAGTTTTTAACAGGTTTATCTCATGCTTCAAGACATGAAGGCTCTGTGTAATCCCGACACAATCATTATACGATCAATAACTAAAATAATCCCATTGCTCGACTTTGTTCCAGATGTGAATGAGTGCAACAGGAACCCCTGTCAGAACGGAGGCCAATGTGTGGATCTGCTCAACGACTTCTACTGCAACTGTGTGGACAACTGGAAGGGAAAGACCTGCCACTCCCGTAAGTCTTTTAAAATCAACAAGTACTGCTAATTCGCCAGTGACTACATGTTTTCTTTTACATTTCTTTGTAAATGGTGTTGTAAAAAAATGAGGAAACATGTGCATGAAGTTTAAACAGGCATTTTAGCCGAATGGTGTGTTATGAAATAAAATAGCTGCTGTTTAGGAAAAAGGCTATTTAACTATCAAAGTACAGCAAAAAGGAAATGAAAGCCTGTGACACTGTTATAATGCAACTTTGTTCTCAGTACCATCTTCTCCAACATGTCAGGTCTCATAGTGTTTTATGACCTCAGCTTCTCCTTTCTGATGCATGATGCCGTCACCTGCTGCTGTGTGGGCTTGTTCTCTCCGCCCTGCCTCTGATCTCTACTTTGAAGCTGAAGTAATCACTAATCATCACCCTGGCACCGATTTCAAAAGTGTAACATTTATACCCATCGTTTTCTTTAGGTGAGAGCCAGTGCGACTCCAGCACCTGCAGTAATGGAGGGACGTGTTATGACCACGGAGACTCTTTTCTGTGTAGCTGTCCCTCAGGCTGGGGTGGCAGCACCTGCAATACAGGTAGGCATTCAGTGTTCTTAGCTCACTCTCATTATTATGTTATGGCTTTGCTAATGGTAGTGTAATAATAATATATGGTCCCGCAGAGTTACGATCTGTGAGACTAAGTGAACACAGGCGCTCCCATTGTGGGGTGGTCAGAAGGAAAAACAAATTAATAAACAGGATTTCTATGGTTTTGTTTTTTAGCCAAGAACAGCACATGTGACTCCCGTCCATGTGAGAACGGAGGGACATGTGTCGGAGGAGGAGGAGACGCCTTCACCTGCATCTGCAAGGACGGCTGGGAGGGAGCCACCTGTGCACAGAGTATGTCCCTTTTTAAAGAGGCCCGTTATGGCAGTATGAGAAAAATAAAGAGCTTTTTGAACATTAAAGCTTGGACACATGTCACAGAAGAGGCACAAAATACAAATATGAAACATGAAAAAGGCCAAATTCGAGTCCATGGATGAATATTTCTATCCTTGAGAGCGTCAACCGACAAGTCAAGACAGTTGCATGATTGCAGAGTTGCTTGTCTTCTCATCAAAGCGGGGTTTAATCTACTTAAACAAAGGACTTTGGCATCCGCATATCATTTTGTGCCAAATTAGATCATTCACAACTTTCCAATAAATTGTAGTTCCCTGTCATTATTATTTATTGGATGCCTGAGAATATTCATCAATGCGCTACCGCTTCTGTTTTTACAACCTCACATGCACCTTCAACTTGTAATTTAAACAGATTTATTGTCTGATTTAGAGGAAATTATCCAAACCGGTTTTGGCTGATTGTCATTCGGTCTCTCTTCTTTCTTTTGCAGATGTCGACGACTGCAATCCGCATCCATGGTAAGACTATTTTCTTTCATTGTTTTACTTGATTTTTAGAGCACACATGCAATATTATCACCTATTATTGGTTGCAGATTATCATGAAATGTAGACGTCTGAAAGACATTCATTGAGGGCTTTTAGCTGGAGTTTTCTTGCATGGTTAAAAAAAAAAGAATTAGCCCTATAACAACCTTTTAATGATCAATCAATCAATCAATCAATGTTTATTTACATAGCCCAATATCACAAATGTTACATTTGTCTCAGCGGACTTCACAGTTTGTACAGAATATCAGTATGACAATACGACACCCTCTGTCCTTAGACCCTCACATCGTACAAGGGAAAACTTCCAAAGAAACCCCACAGTTTAAAGGGGAAAATGGGAGAAACCTCAGAGAGAGCATCGTAGGAGGGATCCCCTCTCCCAGGACGGACAGACGTGCAATAGATGCCGTGTGTAAATGATGATGTCAAACTACTTTTGAATCATCAGCAATGCATTGCTTATTACCTGTTTTGGTATTGATTACGATTTAGTTTCCACTGTTATCTAAATGTCAGTTAAACTTGACCTCAGTTGATCCTGGGAATGGATTCATCTGAAGCCTGGACTGCAGCCCCCAGGCGTATTGACTATTTATCAATGTTGCGTGCGGCAGCTGTAGGAACATCACCTGGCTTGGGTCTGGCGAAACTCTAACATTAAGAGATTTACTGTCTTGTTTTGGAAAAATAATAGAGAGCATGTGAGTAAGTACATATTTTCCCATCAACTCATACACACAACCTACTACAATTCTGATTATACGCTCCCAATTTTCCCTTTGACGATTAAAATGCAAAAAAAGTCTCAAATCTTTGCTTTCCAAATTTGTGCAATGTCAATTTAAAATGACACTTATTTTCATATTCTTGAGGGTTTTGGTAATGCATCAACTTGAATTTTAAGAACTTGTCATTTGTATTTGTATTCGCGAGATAAAAATCACCAAGTGGAGAACTGCTGACTGCTTCTCTGGATCAGAGAGGCTACCCAGGACAAAAGCCACCCTATTCCTCCCCCATTTCTCTCCTCCTCACCCCCCTCTCCAATGACTGACAGGTGGATTAGTGGAGGTTTTGGTTCTTAAAGGAGGGGGTAGAGTGAGTGTGAAGAGGAGCCCCTCTCACTATTCACCGGCCTCGACCTGGGGGTAGCTGTGAGGAGTGGAGGTGTTTGGGAGGGGGTCTCAGTATGTGGTCAGCAGGGATTTACATATGAAGTCTGGACATTGATCAGGGATCAGCTTCAGGCTGCTGACACTCAGAGTCTCTGCAGGAGAAAAGTCTGGTAGATTGTGTAGCTCAGGGGGAAGAACGTGAGACTAACTCCACCTGTTTCTGACCTCAGAGGCTTAATATGGCTTTACAGCCGCTTGTAGTGGTGTAGATGTTAATGTAGTACATTCTGGGTCAGTGTGGAGATGTTCACCAAAGAAAATAAATATCCAGTTTATTCACTTTCCCACGGAAGAGGATTAGGGCCTCACGTTAAAAAATGTTGAGAACCAAAAGTTAGTATTTTGAGATTTAACTGAAAAAGAGATCTACATTTATTCTTTTTGCATTATTTTTCCTACAAACTGGTTATTTTTGTATACGTTTGTTTTTAAGGATTTAAAGCTGAAGTTATCATAGGGAAATGGGTCAAGAGCTGGCACAAATGATAAGTAACCTCTTCTATTAGATCATAGTTATAAAGCCAAGGGATATTATGTTGGTGAATTCTTAACATTGGTCTTCATATGGAACTTTTGACACATTTGCGATTCCTTGTGAACTCCTTTTAAGGGATTATTAGAAATGAGGCAACGTAAACTTTTGACTTTATATCACTCAGCTCAGAGGGCCGGATGAGACATAGTTAAATGTAAGTGTTCACAACATGTCCACAGGACTTTTGGTGAAAAGGAAAATCCACTAAATGTCAAATATCAGTCAGCAGTGAGCTATCTTTTTATTTGAAGTGAATTCGAGGCAGACGTCAACACCACAATCAGTGTTTCCCTAGAAAGGACGTCAACTGATGGACTTGATTCATAGCTTAGCATAAAGCATGGAGCATGAGAAGGCTTTAGACATTAGAAGAAACTTAATGTAGGAGTTGTACTGTTTGAGCTCACTGTGAACCTCAGGTTTTGCAGCAGCGGTGAATTAATGTTTCTTTTGTTTCTTTCTGCAGCTACAACGGCGGCCTCTGCGTGGACGGTGTGAACTGGTTTCGCTGCGAGTGCGCCCCGGGATTCGCCGGACCGGACTGCCGCATCAGTGAGTCCCTGGGAACCGGAGGGGGCGTGTGCAGGGGTCAGGTGGGCGGGGGGTCAGAGGTGAAAGGCCGCGGCGGGGGAGCGTGAGCCGATTGTTTCAGGGCGGCAGATTAGGAAGCCTTTTAGGAAGACGGTCTTAACCTCTCCCCTCTGCGCTGAGCCCGGGTCAGAGCTGAGGTCCGTCAGACGGGTCAGTGCGCTCTCCCGCGGCCTTCTGGGAGAAATCTCTTCAGAAAGGCCTTTTCAGAGCCAGAGTGTCATCCAATTGATGCGTTTCAAACCAAACTGCAATAAACCCATTGTGTGAAGAAAGATCCTCTGAGTTCCATCACTCATTGAAGATATTTGAATATCACATTGAAATCTCTCAAAGCTCAGATTTTTCTCGGCTAAAGAGAAATACTTGAAGGAGATCAATGCATTAAGACCTGTGTGAATTGTAAAAGATAGGATATATAGGGACTAAGAACTCTTCCACATCTTTTTCGCTCTGTTTATGGATCAGTCTTGAGTTTCTTCCTCATGATTACTCTGTATTTTGGACTGCATATTTTAAAATGTATGTTTTCTTTCTACAGACATCGATGAGTGTCAGTCGTCTCCTTGTGCCGAAGGTTCAACCTGCATGGATGAAATCAACGGATACCGCTGTGTCTGTCCTCCAGGATACGCCGGACCTCGCTGTCAGAAGTGTGAGTACCATGAGTCTCAATCACCCATTTATACTGTTTGGTAGATTTCCTGGAGTACCTTGGGTACATAAAGAAGAGGATTGACAACCGAGTCTCTTCCTTTTGTTCTGAAACTCTCCTCTGTTCTCTCCAGTCATCGGACTCGGGAAGTCGTGTCGTCACGCCGGTCTGCAGTTTCCTCACGGCAGCCGCTGGGATGAGGAGTGTAACGCCTGCCAGTGTGTCAACGGAAACGTGCACTGCTCCAAGGTAAGGCTCACAGCAAAGACTGTTTATTACCAACGTGATAATGTTGGTAATAAACCTTTGAATGTGGTTATAAAAACTAGCAATACACATATAGACTTAGAGCAACCCATCCAGGGACTTTCCCCTATTCGCCAATCCTTTCAAAAGATTATTTATCTACATGGAGCACAAGTATGATGCTCAGTCAGGCAAACAATTAAGCAATGTCATTGGAGATCGATGATCGGCGTTAATATATAGTCACATTAAAAGCAATAGGGGATCGATGTCCTGTCAGTCTGCGGGCTGATGAGTGGCAGGAAGCAGGCTCTCACTTAAACTTGGATTTCCTTGGCTTTTCAGTGTTTTATGCAGCATCTACATTCACCACTTTGACTTTGAACCAAACAGCAGCTATCTCTGACAATTGACGATGACCTCATAAGCATCATAAGTGCTTCCCACAGACGTACAGAATCGACTTATAAAAGATGTTTGAACCCAGTGACAGCAGTGTCTGACTGACCGTGCTCCCCCAGGTGCGATGTGGCCGTCGGCCCTGCCTCCTCCCGAAGGCTCCTCCTCCTCCTCCTCCTTCTCCTGCGGACTCAACCCCCCCGCCCTGCCCCGGCGGTCACGAGTGTGTGGAGCATCAGTTCCTCACCTGCTTCTCGCCGCCCTGCCACCAGTGGGGTGTGTGTTCTACGCCCGACCCCCCGACACCCCTACACACAAAGTGCGAGCCCAACAGCGGTTACCAACAACAGCTCGACAACAGCTGCGCTCGCATCACCCTCATCTTCAAGAAGGACAAAGTGCCGCAGGTAAGGAGCTGTCTGTTTGTTGGATACAGAAGTAAAGTTATAATTGTAATATCTTGTAAGATCGGTTTTGGACTACGGGTCAGACTTAACAAGTGAATCGTGAGGAGGATTAGTCCATGCAATTTTTACATTTTATACCCCAGAAAATGTATCAAATGAATTAAGTATGCTCGGTCATCAATAATGGCAAAATGCATTTATTAGCATTTACAAGTCATTCACACACTGTGTGCTCAGGGGGACTAACATTTATACTCATTCACACACTGGTGGCCATGAAGCAGTTTGGGGTTAAGTACAGTACAGTACAGTATGCTGGGAATCGAACCACTGACCTTCTGATTGGAATACGACGTCTCAAAGCCACAGCTGCCATATAACATTAAAGAAATAGCGCTTTGTGCATGGAAATACTTGGGCGAGTTCTCAATGAGAGAAAAGTCTGAAAAAAAGTCTGAAGAGACAGTTGCGAAACCACCAACGCGCCTACAATCCAATCATCAAGTAATCTTTCATCCATGTTGATGTGTCATGTCATAACATCACATTTGAAATCATTCTCCTCCCACCCTGCATTGTTAACATTTGATAATTGCTGGATTGGTAGAAAATGTGTTGAGATATGTTCTTGTTTGAATCTGCAACCGCAAACACACACGTGTCATTCCTCACTGTATTCAGATGAGGGCCTATTTTTGACTCCGTTGACAGATTGTCTCATTTTATAAATCCACACATCATCAAACCCTACCACGCAGCATGTAACTCCTCCATGAAGATGTTTGGAGGCTGAGAAAACAAATCATTAAGGGAAGAAAAGTCTGTGAAGCTGCAGATTTTTATCAGATTTGGATCCTGGATCTCCTTTCTTGTTGAAGAATACAAAAATTTGCCAATTTATGGAGGGAATAGACTTTAACTGCAGCGAGAGAAAGTCCAGACACTTCCAGTTAAAGTGGCAGATGTGCTCTTCCATGAATGGATCCTCTCTCTTGTTAGTCAACATGGTGTTTTTGTTGTTTACTACTCTATCACGAAACGTTCAATGGCGTCCCTGCAGGTCTGAATGAAGTTTTATGAATGGAAATGAATCGGTTCCTCTGAAGAGATACTGATCTGAGATCTGAGCCACAGTCTCCCCGGGGAGGATATTATAAACGTCTGCATCTGAAACAGACTTAGGAGGAATTAGAAGCTGATTGTTCCTCGCCAGCAGCGCAGATACTAATCTGTTTTATCTGTGTGTGTGTGTGTGTGTGTGTGTGTGTGGCAGGGCACCACTGTAGAGAACATCTGCTCGGAGCTGAGGTACCTCCCGGTCACTCAGACGCTGGCGGAGGAGCGGGCGCTGCTCATCCTCTGTGACCTGTCCTACTCCAACAGCGACGCCGTGGAGGTCGCAATGGTGAATATTACACACACGCACACACACACACACACACACACACACACACACACACACACACACACACACACACACACACACACACACACACACACACACACACACACACACATTGACATAGTAGGGTATTGATCCAAAAAAAGGTTTTTCTTTGGTGGTACTCTTTTATTTTAGAAGGTTTCTAGATTGCATGCATGGTCCATGATCTTTCTGGGTTTCATGTACATTTATTAAGTGATATAAAGTCTACAATTTGCAACCTTGAAAAAAATAAACACTATTATTAATTTTTAACGATATTACTTAAAAATGAACTTAATATAGTTATTCATCAGGACGGAGACTAGCAGCTTATGCTAATTACAATGTGCCTTGGAAATAGCATTAGCTGCTAGCTTAAGGCAACAGGTTGAGCCCTGAGTCTTATAAGAGCATCGTTTCTGGTGTCTTACAACTTTGGGCTTATTTTCATAGTTCCCATTTTCAACACAGATTTAGAAGCTGCCTGTCACTTTCCCTCTTTTCTTCTCCCACCCCCAATCACACTTTATTTGTCACTGCAAATTGCTTCCAGAGGATTCCAGTAAAAACCAAACCTTTTCTACTTCTGAATCCGTCTTCTTTGTTAAAAAAAAAAAGGAACAAGAAAGGAAGAACAGGAAGAGACAGAAAGAGGGAGAGGCGTTTGAAGCTTTCTAAACACATCTGGATGAGATTTAGCGATTCTGTTGGGACACCTTGCTGATCTTCGTCTCTCTCTTCTTCTTCTGTTTTCTGTTTCTCCTTACCTTTTTCTCTGGTGCTGTCTCTTCTACTTTCTTTCTCCTCTTTTCTCTGTCTTCCCTTATTCTTCCTCGCTCAGCCACCCATACTCGGGGGGGGAAATCAGTCACCTCGGGGCTCTAAGCTTTTAATGGATGGGATTAGCTCTTGCTCCTCTGATGTTTGCAGGCCTGTTTTGAGCGACAGATACAGGAAAAGGAGTGGCCAACCTGACATCCACCCAAACCCCACAACAAGGCTTTCATATAATAAGAAAAAAAACTCACTCCCACTCGCTGGCGACTCGTGTTGCAGCAAAATGTCAGCCCTCATTTCAAAGTGTGGAGGAAATCTTTATAATCCAGCCCCGCAGATTGTGGCCATTTTTGGTCCATTTATTCTCTTCTAAAGGCTCTCCGTGTGTTTGTAAACGCCTGAAATGCTCTGTTGCGAAGCCTTGAGTGCTTCAATATGTCTCAGTGTGTGTGTGGGGGGAGGAATGAGGAGCTTTTTCATTATTCAGGGTGTCACAATGTTCTTTAACAAGGCTTGATACAGATGTATCAGCTTTTAAGTCTTCAAAGTTTACTAAAGATTTTAAATGAAAGTTTGGTCTGATTCATCAAATCAAATAACAAACAAACTTGAATCATTAAGTATCTTAGAAAAAGTAGGTGTGTGTATAAAAGCTCCAATGTTGTCCGAAAATGACTAAAAACACTTTGCACTCTGGGACATTTTCCCTCTTTACCGTAATCACACCATAGCAAATATGTCAATGCTAATTAAAGTAGTATCATTATATTCAAGTATGTAACCCAATCCCATATACAATGCCCTGCTGCATCAAATACACACTTGAGCAACATATGTGGATTAATCCGCCGCTGAAAATAGTCCCAAACAAATAAATAAAATTTTCAATAACAAAGTAGGAGCCAGCTAATTTTAGTTTTTTTATGCTTATATGATACAGTATACAAATAATACAAAAATATCTATTTAAGTATCAAAGTATCCAATTTAGTTAATGATCATTTTGATCCTCAGTGCTACACACACAGTCGGCAGTATAGTAGGATACTCAGCGTGATGTGGCCTGTCAATCACTCAGGGGGCGGGCCTAGAGGTGTGTGAATGAGCTGCTGATTTTCTCAGGAGAAGAAAAGAGGAGTGTTCGTCCCCGGCCGAGCGGGGAGCACAGCTGGCCTGTTCTCTATTGTTTGTCCTAATTGAACTGCACAGCATACAGCTAATCCCCCTCTGCCCCCCCCCACCTCCTGCCTGCTCTCACCCTCAGCACCTTATTAGGCAATTAACTCCACCCTCTGTGGTCTCAGTGGGGGGGGGGTTCCGCAGCCTGCCAGATGTTAGGATGGGAATCTCTTTTATTCTGACGGATGAATGTGTGTTTTTCCTTCTCTCTCTCTCTTGTTGTTCTCCATAGCCTCAAGCAACACTGACCATTTGGCAAATAGGCTTTATTTTGATTTCCCTTCTGCACTGAATCTGTGCTGTCAGCTGATCAATCTGTGCTGTCACTTTCTTCACTGAACCTAGTCCCTTTGCAATTTTCAACCACTACCTACCAATCGCCTTTTTTTGATTATTGCTAAATGTTCTTTTTAAGTAACCACACAGTTTTAGGGCAACATGTGGCACACTGTAACAATCTATCAGATGCTCCAAACTAACTGAAAACAAGCAGTGTATCTGAGAGAAAGGACTGTTTGTTGCATGCTAATGGACCATACAAAACCACCAAATTAACATTGCCTACATATTCTCCCAGAAATGTGAAAACACTTGAGTTTTTTTTTACCATGTGGAATGCAGTGCAAAACAAATTGATTCCTGACCTCCATCTTTCTGTCTCTGCAGTCCTTTGAGCAGGACGGCCGGTCCAGTGACGCTGATCGTGGACAGATCCAGAAGGCAGCCAGCTCCATCATCAGCGCCCTCTCCAAACGCCACAACAGCACCGTCATGATGGCAGTGGTGGAGGTCAAGGTGGAGATGCCGGTGGAGCCTCCGCCTGTTGGTGAGTCACAGATCCCTGATTTATATATGAAGATTATTTAAATAAAAAAGGACGTATAATGCTAATTTCCAGGTTCATATTTGTATTTTGTGCCTCGACTGCACATGTGTCAAACTCAAATCAGGCCCTTGGTGGATTTAATTTCGGCCCGCAGTATAATTTTTAATTACTATTAGATCTGGCACGCACACCTTCACTCAATCCTGAGGGTTACCTCAGCTCAGAGCCTGACCCCAAACATTGATGAACTTGCACCCAAGATGAGATGCCAAGTATCTGGCTTGAACTAGCATCACAGAGCAGCAAACTGAGTTTCAATGGATGTTTCCTTCTGCACTTTCTTTCTTGCGACAACAGGGCATGTTTGGTTTTTTCTTTGAGGGAAATAGTTTTTTTGAAGCTGTTGTTGGCCTGTGGAAAAATGTAATCATAAGAAATGACTCTGCAGATAGAGCCATAAGAAATGGATGCAACTGATTATTTAATGTTGTTTTTATAGGCAATAATTTAAGCTTTGTTAGTTCCAGGTTTAATATATGCAATAAGTTCATTTCAATACGTTTTGCAATAAACATTGAACCAGTCCGGCCCTCGACTAGTACCGATTTTTAAATTTTGGCCCACTGTGTATTTGAGTTTCACACCCCTGATCCACTGTGACATGTTTACATCCTTTAATGTTCAAACAGCTCTTTATTTTTCTTATACTGCCTGTGCTGCAGCACCTCTTTTCACCCTCTGTCTGAAACCAGAGCCTAGTCTGCTCTGATTGGTTAGCTGGACGGCTCTGTTGTGATTGGTCAACCGCTTAGAGATGTCCCGCCTCTTTGCCTATCACGTACAATGTGTTGGAGCGCTAGCCAATAAAAGCCAAGTGTTACATACTGATGTCACTATGTCCCAGAAGTAAACAGATTAGTCAGAAACTCCCTCTGTAGGGAACACAGGGATGTTAGCCTTTGCAGACCATTAACATGCATCCTATAGAACACACTAGAGGAAAGGGAAAACCCCCAAATCATAATAGGGCCTCTTTAATACTTTGGGGGTGGAAGGTTCTTGGTGTAAATGCACTTTTTTAGCATGTGTTCAAGCCTGTTGAAGACAAACAGGGTCAAGTACTCTTTATTTCCTACAGAGAAATATTCTTCTAACGTGTCCTTTGACTTCATCCTGCAGGTTACCTGGTCCCGGTGCTGTGCGTGGTCTTCAGCCTCCTCTGGATCTTCTGCATTGTTGTTTGCGTTTGGTGGACGCGCAAGAGGAAGAAAGAGCGCGAGAGAGCGTCCCGATCCGAGGACACGACGGTCAACAACCGACTGGAGCCGCCGCGGAGCAGCGCCCCCAAGGACAACCGCGACAAAGACATTCAGTACGAATGCAAGAAACTGATGGGCCCGTGCGACGGGGCCGAGGGCGAGGAGGAAGGGGAGCAGGAGGGGGAGCAGGAGGGGGAGCAGGAGGAAGACGAGGAGCTGGGCATGGGGGAGAACTGTCCGGCTCTAAAATGCCCCACAGCGGGGGCGCAGGACAAGGGGCTGATGGGTAAGGGAGGGGTCGTCTGCACGTCTCGCAGCGCTCCGGTCAAGGCGCCGCACCGGACAGTGTACAGCCCCAAAGACAACCGCTGTAAAAACCTGAACGCAGCACAGCTCAGCGAGGACATTAAAGACCACTATGTATGAACACCAGGAAAAACTGCAATGTCTTCAGAGACTTTTAGACTCTCAAAAGCACCAAAAGTGAAGATTACAGATGCTTTCATTTTCTATTTTTGTTTGTCACACCTTATTTAACTCCTTTGTCTGCCGCACGGATGCTTATTTTACCAAAAAAACAAACCAAAAAAATACAGAAAAACCAACAAAAAAAGACTCGGAAAATAAACATCACAGCTTCTTCTGGATTTTGTCACCACTCTGTTGGAATCAAGGATAATTTTCTTTTCACATTGTTTAAAAACTGTTTTCCACTCATCAGAAGTGACGCTTCCCTTTTTCTTTCATTTAAACCTCGGAGATTTAACAGATCATCGGCTGGCAGCTGTTAACATTATTTTAATGTTTGGTGCTTTCGGCTCCTGTCTGCCTTAGCCCACACCTGCGGGCCTTTTCTACACTGTCTTCATATCATGTCTTTTTATAAAACAAAACTAAGAAAAAAAAGATTTTATATACTTTTAAGTCCTTGAAAGTTGGCACAGAGAATCCACTGTATCATACCTGGCATGAGCATTTCTTTGTTTACATTCATAAACATCTTTTCCATTTCGTGTTAAGACTTCTTACGTATATCCTTTTTAATAATTATGTCATTGCCTTCTGCCGGTCTCCATGATTTTTCAGTATTTGCTTTGGTAGAAAAGTGCCTTCAGCCCTATTTCTTTTCTTCTTTTCTCCCCTCCTATAGATGTTATGCAGAATTTAAATACATATAAAGGGAAAGATGTCCTAGTTACAACTCTCTAACGCAGTAAAAGTTATTTTCTTTGCGATGTACATATGTAAATATGAAGAAATGGCTGTGTATATTTGAATTCAGTAACTTAAGTGATGCTTTGTATCATAGTTATTCTAACTTTTTTTTTTCCGTGGTTGTTTTTTTAATGATGTCATTCCGTTTCTGAGTGTCTGTTGACTCTACGAAAGGTTTTATACAGATTTTCGGACCGTGTCCAGGGTCCCGTTGAATCAAGAGCATCAGTCTGAAAAGAAAACAGATCATGATTGTTTGTCTGTCTGTGTTATGGTTATTTGTTACAGCTGTTGAGAACACAAATACAGAGTTTGTTAAGCGTGTCACTATCAATGTGAGAGGTTGTCAGGATCTGAGTGGGGTTCACTAAAGAGCTGATAAAGCTCGGTGTCAGTCAACTTTTGGAAACTCCTTTCAATTCATTAGAAACTTGTTTTAACCCCTTAAATCAGAATTCCCCTTAAACTGCAGGATTCACTTTTCTATAACAGCTATTTATGTTTTAGGTTTCTGAAAGTCCTTACAACTACAAATGTCTTATGGGCCACCCTTCATGCAATAATCCACCTCTTTAAACCATTTCATTCTTATTAAACCGTCAGAAAGTAATATAAATGTCACTAATTTCAACGTTTTTTCAAACGTTCAAAAAATGATGCTTTAGCTGCTAACACTGAGATTTCTTTGGAAAACACTGTTGGTCTTTTCCACATTTCAAGCTATGTTCACATCCTATGACTGTGTGTAAATAATTATTAACACACTGTTAGCATCCGGTTCAATATATATATAAAGCAACAGCCAGACCCAGCTGCAGCCAACAGGCCAAATTTCACGTTCCCTTTTAACTATTTTTATTTTAAAATGAAGAATGCTAACGGCCTTTCCAAAAGGGTAGAATATCAATCATTTCTTTGGCTTTGAAATTATGCTTAATTGCAGAAATTGAACTGGTTTGTTTCTGCACTTTTTTGTCCAAATCTACGATGTAAAGAGACTAGCTTTGTCCAAAATGACTCCCTCCTTTAATTATTTGACACCAACTGTTCCATAGTGATATATTGAACACATTTCAGAGACACATTTAACACCCATTTAAAGCTTAGAGCTCTGCTTCAAGTCGCCTATTTCATTTCATGTTTCCATTTTAGGACACCAAATGGCACAAGAACACTAAAGTAGCCCTGTGCAAGAGATTCAGGTCTTAAACCGGCTCTGATGCATTTTTCAATCCACTCTTACGGGTCACAGGGTCCAAACAACGTAAAAGCACTGCTGTCAGTCTCTCTCTTCTTAAGCCTGCTCGTACTTCAGTTATAAATTCACTATTTTACAGTCTGTTGACAGTGGAGATGCCATGCAGGGCAGCGGGGTGTTTAGTGAGTATGAAAACCCTTGTTGTGCCGCGCCCCCCCCACCCCTACTTAAGTGCCCTATTGCACGACACTGAACCCCCCATCACTGACAAATCAGAAGGTGTGAGGTTTTGAATGGACTCGCAGTGGATGAGTGTGAATCCTTAATGTTACTCCCTGTTAAGCCCCGCCTCTCCTTCTGTTTGTATTATGGTCTAATGAAGGGAACAAGTTGTGTTGTTGTTGATGTTGTTGACTGTTGTGCTTGTCGTCCAATGTTTGTAAAGAGTCTGTTTCTGCACTAAGAACACACAGGAGAAGAGAAACTTAAAAATTAAAATAAGTCAAATGTTGTCACTACATTATGTTTTATGATTTTGTTACAAATCTGATGCAAATCACGTAAAACCCAAATTCATATTCTGTTGGTAAATCTTCTGAATGGGCAGAACATTGTAATTATTTTGTACAAAATTTGGTAAAAGTCTTGGTTTGTTAGTGGAATTTTTTTTTGTTTGTTCTTAGAACAACCCTATTATTTATTAAAGTATTTTATACCAAGTTCATTTAGCTTTGTCTCGTTTTTTGTGTTAACATATTTCAACAATGTTTCTTTAGCAACTGACCCTTTACAAAGCCCCGCCCCCTTAGTTACTGTTGCTATTCCGACCAAGATTTCTCTAGAACTTTGTATGCCATTGCCGATGGCAATGATAACTGTGGCAGATTTATCTTTATAAATGTGTGACCACCTTTTTCCTACAAAGATGGACACATTTAAGCTAGTTTTCTAGTAAGCAGATAGCCAGTTAGCCCACTAGATAATTACCATTAAGTCCACAATGTGTTGGAAAACTAAAATCAAAACCCAGGAAAAATGTAATTGTTACATATACATGATATAACTCAGCATGCTTTTAGAAAATAAAAAAGGAAAACATTGTAATTTAGATGAACAAGTATGGCTAAGATTAGTTTATGTTCATTTGTAGTGTCACAACATGTATTACTTTTACTTTAGAGAAGGTTTTTAGGATTATCTACTGGCAAGGTCCTGTCAGATTTAATAAAGAGCAGAGAAGATAACTTTGAAATGTTTGATTTAAGAAATGTTTGCTCACAAAAATCACTCGTTATATCAGAGGCTTTGGATTTGAAATGAGATATCCAGCTTTTGTAAAAAATGTAAAAAGTCTCATTTACAGTAGTATTTGATCATAATGTATTTGTTTTATTTTAAGATGGAAATGTATCTGTTTGAAAATGTAGTCTTAACACTCTTTACACTCTCTAAAAGCCCCTCCACCACCTCTCTGCCTCCCGCCTCATTTAGCGGCAGTCCAATGAGGTGAGTCCTTGGCGGGCCTCCATCTGCCCCTCTAATGACACTGTGGGAAATGATTAACATTAGCCCGCTCTGCATGGAGGCCTTCCAGCAGCTGTGTCGGACATCCATAATGCTTGGCGGGACGTTATGTGCCGTGCTGTGTGTTCATTAACCCGGCAGTTGTTTTGGGAAGAATGGGAAACGTGTCTGGAATCCTGGACGGATCGCCGCTCGGGTCACATGCACTAACAAAACACACGACTGCTGACCTACTTGGAGAGAAGTACAATGAAGGAGAAGGAGATGGATGGTATAGTAGAAGGAGGACGGGCCAATGTTGGTATGATGGTTGCTTGTCATACTACAATGCAAGCGTGTAAGCTGAAACCAGATTCCTCCAGGAGCTGCTTATAGTGAAGGCTGCTGGTTTTCCATGCTGCATGTTGGGCTTCATGATTCATGTCGCAGTGTCAGCGAGTGTGGGGGGCTTTGGATCTGAGCGTTACAATGAAACAGTCCTGGATAAAGTAGAAGCTGCAAAAAATTGTATCTGAAAAGTTTATTTTTTGTCATTAAAATAGAAGTTCCAGTAGAAGCTATTCTGAGCCTTAGAAGGAAATTAAAAAGATCTTCATCAGCAGATCAAGTGAAACCAACTGTCAAAGAATTTCCGTTGTTTCCATTTCCATTTATTCTGAACACTTGAAGAACTCCTTGTCCATGTTGGGGCATCTTCAATTTAATGAAATCTGGGAAAACTATTAAAATTACTTTCCGTCAACAAAAACATTACTAGTTTGCTACCCTGGCTCCAAAATGGTGTGAAATGCTCCCCATTGACATCAGGAGTGCAGAAAGTCTACACATATTCTGACAGAAACTGATAACTCACCTGTCGTATCTTTAGATTTGGTCTTTTGGTGCCTCAAATTGTGTTGTGTTTACCAGCCCATTAGAATGACCAACATATGTTGTATTTATCTTCATTTATTTAAACCCATCTGTACTACCTTTGATTCTTAAACAAGCACAAACACACAATTCATCATTCTTTACAAGAAATAGGCCATCAGTCTTTCTGTCTCAAGCCACTAGAGATGGGCGAGTCCTGATTCATCCGGATCATTAACCCGGATCCTAGAAATGAGCTGGTCATGACGAGTCTCCCCTCTCCATTAACCCGAGTCCTTGAGTCCCACACTTGGTGTGACGTACAAATTAAAACTATAAATTGCGTCACTCGCTACTCTCTTTATAACATGTAAAATCACATTACAACGTACCCCAGTCCATCTGCCTACCCTTTAGCAAGTATACAGGATAGCTGCCAGAAGTGATCGTTTGGCTCAGGGGAGGGGACGCGGATCAGTGAAACTTCCTGCAGACTCGTGGGGACTCAGAGGAGCCGACGGCTCCAACAGCAGACTCGCAGATTCGCAGATTCGCAAATCCTGACTCGCTGCAACACACAGCGGATCAGACTCGTGCGGACTCGGAGCCGTAACCGTATAGCAGCAGATCCAGAGATCCAGCAGACTCGTCGTCATGCACGAGTCCACACAGCAGACTCGGATTCGCAGATTCGCAAATCCTGACTCGCTGCAACACACAGCGGATCAGACTCGTGCGGACTCGGAGCCGTAACCATATAGCAGCAGATCCAGAGATCCAGCAGACTCGTCGTCATGCACGAGTCCACAGCAGACTCGGATTCGCAAATCCTGACTCACTGTGTGTGCAACACACAGCAGAGCAGACTCGTGCGGACTCGGAGCCGTATATAGCAGCAGATCCAGAGATCCAGCAGACTCGTCCTCATGCACGAGTCCACAGCAGACTCAGATTTGCCAAATCGCAAAATAACCCTTTTTTTTGTGATCAACATTTTTTATTAAAGCAAAATACACTGTGTAGCGGAGGTTAATTATAACGTCAGTTTAATAGATAGATAGATAGATAGTACTTTATTGATCCCAAATTGGGAAATTGTTGTTGTTACAGCAGCATAAAAGGCATTTTACAATAAAACAAAACTACAAAATATACAAGAATAGAAATAAAAATAAAATATAAAATATACATGTCGAAATAGAAAATATACATGCAGATATTATATATATATATATACAAATATATATATATATATATTCAAAATATATGGAATAATAATATGCTCGTGAAATGCAACAACTTTTCGGTTTCACCAATAGGATTTCTACGGTCTTGGTCATGCTGACTCATATGACTCAAATGACTCGTATGATCCGGATCTCTTCAATGACTGACTCAGAAGACCCTGAGTCCGTAAAATGATCCGGATTTGCCATCTCTACAAGCCACAGATTATTAAAAAAACAAGAACTCAATTTGAAAGCTGCATTTAGCTCATGCTTGTCAGTCATTGGCTGCATTAGCTGTCAATCAATCCTGTCACCATCATTCATTGGCTAGGCCACATGGCATGGTTTGCCAATGAGCATCGAAACTCTCCAAATGGTGACATTCAAGAGACGTTTTCAGGAAGTGGCTTTTTTATTGATATTTTAGCGAAAATAAAAATGTAAACAACATAGCAGAGGGTTGCATTAAAACCTAAGATGTGGAGGAAGCTGCAGCGGCACTTTAGTGAGTTTTTGGTGGAGTTTCAATGTCAAATAGTTTGTTGTTTTTAAAAGGCCACATGGAAAACCTCTCAGTGTGAGAGCATGAAGTAGTGAGATTTTTTTTTTTGGTCCAGATAAGGAGGATGAGTGTTGGCGTGAAGCTTTATATTTAGCCAACCTTGTGTTTATAAAGTCCATGTGTGATACTGTTGGCTGAAACCTTTGTAATTCCATTTGTATTGACTTAAAGTTTTATAATCAGCTTAGTGAAGCTTGATTATTAATTAGACACACCTGTAGAAATCACACTACTACTGCTTTGTTGACACTGTTTAATTGAATTCATTGTATAGTCATGTTAATCGTGTCCAACTCTGTCATCTGGAAACCTGGACTCAGACAATGCAGATTTTACCTCCAAAGATGAAGAAGGTAAATTGATTGTTGATGGACTGCTGTTGTATTTGTCATCGTGTACAGACATACACTTAAGATTGTGTTCATTAAATGTATTTCATGTGATTATTATTTCTGCATATTTGTGTACATTGTTGATATTCAACTTGTCAAGAAATCATAGATGCCAAATACTTGATTGTGCTGTTTTCTGAGACCTAAATTATAATAAATGTATAGAAAAATGAGTCTTATGTGACATACAGTAAAGACTAAGTATAGGTATAAGAAAAGAAAAAGAAAAGATTTCCGCCAAAGGACACTCCACAATGTAAGCTTAAAATAAGCCACAGCGTCTTCTTAATAGACTTGTCACAGTTTACAACACAGTGTAGCATTAGAGACAAGCGTTTAACAGTACGATCTGTTCAGTTAAGTATCCTGTCGCCTATATGTCAAATGTCACCATCATAAATCCAGCGGCCCGCTCGGACAGCACTAAAGCTTCATGACAGAACATCACGGCTTCACGGCCCATTTGATGTTCGTCCTCTTGGATCATTTGAATGACCAACACAATGCGGTCTCCACGGTGATGCGATGGTTTAGCTTGATGTTTAACAGAAAGTCTCACATCTTCTGGCTCCAAACAGACGAGGCACTGTGGCGGATAATCTGCTGAAGATGGACGGCTGCCATGCCGCCGTCTCCAGGAGCCGTGGAGCCATCAGTTCCAGGTAAAAGGAGCAGAGACACTGAGATGGATGGATCTCACAGAGCAGGGACTTTTAAGGTCAACATCCTGGTGGCTGCACAGTAAATCTGAAGCTATCACCTTACTTATTGTCCTATTCTATAGACAAAATTAGGAATACAAAGTCATTTACTAGCTTCTCAACTCCATGTAAGATAAAACTGAGATGAAGTTTGATTTGAAAAACAAAAAATGCCTATCTTCAACCAGAATTTCAGTTTTGCGTGCAGAAATATCATTTTACATGTTCAGAAAGACCAGGAAATGTCCTGCAAATGAAAAAAAACTGTTTTCTAGTTGAATACTTTCCTTGTTGCATCTCGACTTGATACGGGTAAATCAAATAAGTTACTTGCCAGTGGCGTGCACAGATTGAGATCATATCTTTACTATTTTACCACCAAACTCCAGTTATTTAATTTAAACTACCTTTTTGTCCAACAAAAGTACAAATTAAATCAAATGAAATGGTGCTTTTTGGTATCC